AAAAAAAATGAAGTGCACGCTCTATCATTTCCACCGCACGATACTGTAGTACTGCGCACTGCAGCGCTCAGCATCCAGGAATTGCGTTGGGGTGCCATTCAAACGAAGGGCAATGCTACGCACCTGGCGCTCGCTGCGTTTTTGTGACAGTGTGCTCCAATCGCACGGAATACGCTCACATGTGGACCGGCCCCCGAACGATTGAACAGACATATCACAAAGATAACTAGTGTAGGGAAGAAAGCTAAGAGCTCAAGCTCATGTAGCTTTAGTTGTGCGCACTCAGGAGCTGGAAGTGTATGAGATCAGCAGGGCAGCCGGTGTGTGATTCCAGGCGGCCGCTCACTCCTGACCCTCGAGGTGAAGAATCAGGCTGAGAACAAGTGAGGAAAGTGAAAGATAGGAATACTTCATAGCGAAGGATACACTATAGGACAGAGCAGGGGTGGGCAACCCCCCGGCCCTCCGGCCGTGCTTTAACTACAAATTCCATCATGCCTCGGCCTCTACAAGTCATGCCTGTAACTGTCAGCCTTGCAATGCCTCATGGGACTTGTAGTTCCACCACAGCTGGAGGGCCGCAGTTGTCCACCCGTGGGACCGAGTATACAGATTCCGTCACAACAGTTGCTGACCTTCTTTACAGGGTACATCCACCTCTATGGCTACGTGGGGGGGGGTTTCTGAATAATCCAAATCATGAGTAGCCATGACAGATTTTGCTCCCTCTATACAGGATCTTGAAGTTTCCATTGAGCCAAATCAAGAATGTAAAAAATGTCTTCGCTGGAAACATTGTAGCGCTTTGTCTAAACAACCGTTGGGTGGCTATCGGTGGACGGCTGTAGACTGATATCCCCCCCCCACCCCCTTTTCAGATTCCAGATGGTGGAATAGTCACTTCAAGAGCCTGAATAAGATGTACAGACCATACAATGTGCGCTTTCATTTCTCATTTATTATTTTGCTGTCTTGTTGTTCATCAGATCGGTCAGACAGGCGGAATCCCACGTATCACTTATACTAAAAAAAAGTCAATTCAGACTTTTCCGCCTTTCTTCAGATCTGACCCCCCATCCTTCCCTTCAGTCTTGCACAGTTGTGCCTTCATTAACATATATTATAATGATATGCAAATTAGGAAATATTCTCCGTAAGCTAAAGGGGTACCCTAAGATTGCTGAAGCAAGTCAGATAGAGCCCGCCTCGTTTCCCTGGCTGGAGGACGTCCAGCAACATCGAGCGCTTTCCTCCCCAGCCTGACTATATCCTTGAGGGGTGGGTGACGGTCTGGAGGAGTGGGCGTTCCTAGACAGGCTGTTTTTGCATAAAGACCGCCCTAGGTAACGCCCACATCCACGATTGACAGAACTGCGCCCCCTTTTATTCATTGGTTTCAGTTCTGTCAATTATGGAGGCTCAGCACCACATGTGGGCGTTACCTAGGGTGGTCTGTATGCAAATACAGACTGCCTAGGAACTCCCGCTCCTCCAGACTGACACCTACCGCTCAAGGAATTTTGACAATGACATAACTCCTCCCAAGAGCCTGCCCACTGCTTACATCAGGGCCGAGGGCTCTTGAAAGGAGTACTGAGGCAGGGTGCTGTGTTGTTTTCAGGAAGCTATGTACAGCACCCCGCCAGCTTCTCCAACCAGCCACGATCTGCCTGCATTGTAACGAGAAGCACAAATAAGGAATGTAATCTAATAAAAAAGGTTTCATTTAAACATGTCATTAACATGTTAATGAGGGGGGGGAGGAGCCAGGGAAGGCAAAATAAAAGCCAAAAATTATATTTTATACTATGTCACTACAAAAGTCTCTCCAGTTCTCTGTCTCAATCCTTCTCTTTAGTAAGTCTGACCTGCAGCCGATATCACACCTCCCTCCCGGCTGCAACATGTAAATGTCTCAGCTTTCCAGTCCCCCGGCAGTTTTGCAATGCAAATAGCTTGTCGGTAAAACACGTTCTCCTCCTCGGTGACCCCCAACTGCACTTCGCTCACAGACGGAGATCTGGGTGTCTATAACCTGAGCTCACATCAGGACCGCCTGTCCTTCCTACCAGACAACACAGGCTGCAGAGAGACAATTGGCGGACATCAGGACACAATAGGGGGCGTGTCCAAAACTAAAACTGTTTACCTTTGTGCATAGTATATACAATGCACCAGGAGTGCAGGAGTCAGGACAATGGAATGCAGAGAGCAGCTTGCAGAGTTCAGTGGTCAGGTGGTAGAGCTCCCTTATGGTGGTGGTTGGTAGTGAGTGCCTTTTTAAATGTTGGTGGTCAATGGTGTGTGCCCCTTTAAATCTTGGTGGTCCATGATGTGTGCCCCTATAAATCTTGGTGGTCCATGATGTCTGCTCCTTTAAATGTAGGTGGTCCATGATGTGTGCTCCTTTAAATGTTGGTGGTCCATTATGTGTGCTCCTTTAAATGTAGGTGGTCCATGATGTGTGCTCCTTTATATGTTGGTGGTCCATGGTGTGTGCCCCTTTAAATGTAGGTGGTCCATGATGTGTGCTCCTTTATATGTTGGTGGTCCATGGTGTGTGCCCCTTTAAATGTAGGTGGTCCATGATGTGTGCTCCTTTATATGTTGGTGGTCCATGGTGTGTGCCCCTTTAAAAGAATGTGGTCCATGATGTGTGCTCCTTTATATGTTGGTGGTCCATGATGTGTGCTCCTTTAAATGTTGGTGGTCCATGATGTGTGCTCCTTTAAATGTTGGTGGTCCATTATGTGTGCTCCTTTAAATGTAGGTGGTCCATGATGTGTGCTCCTTTATATGTTGGTGGTCCATGGTGTGTGCCCCTTTAAATGTAGGTGGTCCATGATGTGTGCTCCTTTATATGTTGGTGGTCCATGGTGTGTGCCCCTTTAAATGTAGGTGATCAGTAGTGAGTGCCCCATAACGTTGGTGGTCAGTGATGTTTTTCTCTACTCTATAGAATTGTGGTCAGTGTGCCCCCTTAATTGTCAAAATGCCCCCTGTGCATCCCCCTGAAGCTCAGTGTACCCCCTTGTTGTAGACAATATTTACTGACCTTGGAGTTCAGCTTTAAGAGGAGCGTCCAATAGATGGAGCAGAAAGGAAGACTCTGCTAACCACCTAACTTGGCCTGCAGGTTCACAGTAAGCTGATTTTATATAGTCTGCTGCAGACAGACTCACCAGGGTCCTGAGTGGGACTGAATGCTCTTGTCACGTGATTCTGTGCAATGCAACATCCCTCTATAGCTCCAGCATGGGTGGATGAGGCTGCAGCCAGCTCGCCCTGGCTGAATCCTCTATAGGCTCAGAATTGGCGCCATTCAGGAGATGAGGGCTCCGGCAGGCAGAACAGCCATTGCAGAAGACGGGGATTGGTGGTGATTCTCACCAATCATAACCTGTCTGCAGCTCTGGCAGTGTCATATTACAGGCACTGATGTAGGCTGGGACAGACACAACAGTGGCCCCCCGAGGTGAGGTCTCCCTCCTTCTAACTGCGGTTCCTCTCGGGAAGCTAGTCAGCAATCTGTTATCATTTGTATTTTGGCTGCAGAGCATCGCAAGGTTCCGGTAATTAGCCGAACATTCGCTGAGGCGTCTGAAGCAGACTCGCAGGCGGGAACAGCACCGGCGCAGACAGAAAACAGGTTGCTTTAGGTACAAAGCCGGCCCGGGAGCCCGGGATTTGCCGCTAATCCTCTTAGGGTGAGATTTTCTGATGAGGCAAGCAGAGAGTTTATCATGTTAATTCCAGTCGAGGTGTTCAACTCCTGTGATGGCTGCTGGCAGAGCAGCTACGGCAGCCAGAGGTCGGGGGCAGGGAGGGTGCGCGGACATGGAAGGCGGACGCGTGCTCTGCAGCACCCCGGGAATAATTACATAATTCCAACGAAACTAATAACAGGCGGAAAATCACTTAATACCTCTCGCCTTAAAGGGAACGTTTCCCTCACAGTGCGGGAAACGTTCCCCGGGACAGAATTCCAGATTACCTGTGGCATGGGGGATGGTGCGACAATACGCAGTCATTTATAGAACTACGCAGGCTCGCATATGTCCACTGCTCTTCCTTTACTTTGTGACAGTCTCAACCACAGCCTTCTAAACTCATATGCTGTCTCTCAGCTCCTGAGTGTGCAAAACAGTTACAGTTCTGTTTTTGTTCACATTCCTCTTAATGCCTAATCAGGCCAAAGTGACAGCGTTCGCACCTGCCCCACCCCCCAGGACACACATTCGGGGGAAAAATAACATCATGTCAAGCAGATACCCAATAAGCTTTCCTGGCAGGAACATGGAGGTTGCCAATGCTGACTTCTTTCTAGGCAGCCTAGTTACCTGGCTGTCATGCTGATCCCTGGAGTTAAAACCTGAGTCACTGGCCCGCAGCAAACACATGGGGATTTCTGCATTTCCTGATCTGCGTCTTTGGTCAGTGACACAAAGGGGTTCGTTTATAAAAGTTTCCTCTAGATGGCGCTGATGAGTATAGGGAATTCCAATACAACTTTTATAGATGAACCCCCGAGGAACTGAAGGAAGTGTCTCAGCATAACAGCCGGGCAAATAGCATTTAGGGTGCAGCTAATCATCTGCTTA